AACAAAAAACAAATTCTTCATTTTTTGCAAAATGTACCCTGCTACTGTTTTTTGTAAAAAAAAAATTTCCAAAAGTTTATTATTGGTTTGAGTGAAAGTAATAGCAAACTATGGTGTATATATAATACTGGAACATTTATTTTATTTATATATACTACTCATGGCGGCGTCGATGTACAACTTATCATGGGACTCTGCGATAGTGCAGTGGGCAAGCTGACATTAACTGTAGCTGTGAGGAACTGGCTAACTGCCACTGTCATCACCAGTGACAGTGCAGTGTCAATATATAGTATTATCACTGTTCACTGGAATAATGTCCTCTGGTGATGTCAATTGGCAGTTAGCTACTTCCTCCCCCAGTGTCAGTTAGGGTTTATTTACTAAAGCTGGAGAGTCCAAAATCAGACTCTCCTTCTTCTGCATAGAAACCAATCAGCTTCTAACCTCAGCTTGTTCCAATGAAGCTTTGGCACTCCCATGAAATGGAAGCTGATTGGTGTTCTATGCAGAAGGGAGTCTGATTTTGGACTCTCTCAGCTTTAGAAATAAACTCCTTAATGTCAGATTGCCCACCACAATATCACAGTCCTATTATAAGCTGTATAATGGAAGGGTTTAACATCTACGAGGGCGATCAAGGGTTAAATGTGTGCCTAACAATTGTGTAATGTGTGCTGCCTTTTACTAACTGATCTCTAAGTTTCTCACCCTGAAACCACAGAGCTTGTTCCATGTGTACCAGAGCTCTGGGCTGTGATTTGGGACACAGCCGATCAGCATGTCTGGGCCATGAATAATTGCTGTGACTTGCTGACAGAGCTCCCGCTGTGTACAATCACAAAGTTATTTTTGTTTTTTTGTTTAAAAAGTATGCAGGTGATGTACGGGTACATTGTGGCCGGCCCCCAAGTGGTTAATGCCATAACAAAAATTGTGGAATACATAAAGGGAATAAATGTTTTGGCTTTAGAACCCACTTTAACTTATTGGTAAAATTTGTACACATTATAAAATATATGTATCCTAGAAAAAAAAAAATTGTCCAAGTGCACCAGTAGTTTTTACTACTAATCAAAACACAACAGAGAGTCATCGTGCGTATATAAGGATTGTCCACTATATTTCCCCATCAAAGTTTTGTTTCTGACTCCTGATTGGCTAATGCTGGTACTAAAACCAAACAGAATTCATTATGGTGCAAAGAACCAACCCTCTTCCAGAAAAAACAAGGGACCATAACGATAGGTGACACTGCTACCTCACTGCTGATAATCAGCAATAACAAATAAGGCCATCTTTTGTTTGACTCACTGGGGGGGGGGAATTAATAAAACTGGGAACACAAACGCTGGTGCAGCTGTACACTGGTAACCAATGCAGCTTCTAACACGTCACCTGCTTGTTCAATTAAGCATTGACAATAAGCTGTACAAGATTCTGTGGGCACCAGTTTATAGTAAATCTCTACCAGTGAGATGCAGTGCTGGTGTGGGGAGGTTGTGGGTATCTGGGACAGGTTCCATGACCTAGCATTTTCAGTGTAAGGAGAGTGAGACCTTATGAGCCGTACAATTATATACCACAGATCCATGTTGTCTCTTCCATCATTTTGCCCGTTATTAACTGTAAAATGAATGGGATTAAGTTAGAAACAATCACATCAAACAGCTGGTCATGTTATGGGGAAAAATGTTCATGCTTGAATGACGTGTACCTTTAACCCCGTTCAATCTCTTAAGTACTGAGAGACTGTCAACAATATTAAAAGTCCTCCCTCGTTTCTAGTCCTGTCCCGAGTAGTTAGTACGTCTACACTATGATTGCCAAACAGTATTTGACTTGCCTCCCAATCATGTGATTCAGAGGTGATCCAATCCCCTCCATGGCCAAAGGAGTATACAATCAAGCCCCTAGCGCATGCAGACTGCTTCTACAAACATTGGTGAAAGAATGGCTCGCTTCTCAGTAGAGCTCAGTGACGATCCAAGCGTGATCACCGTGATAGGTGGCCACCTCTGCAAATAAGTCCAGCCGTGACATTTCCTGGCTACTAAATATTCCACGCTCAACTGTTAGTGGGATTATCTAACAAAGTGGAAGCAACTGGGAACAACAGCAACAGAGCCATCAAGTGTAGGCCACGTCACATGATAATAGAGCGGGGTCAGCACATGCTGAAGCGCACAGTGCGCAGAAGAGTCGCCAACTTTGTCTGCAGAGTCAATAGCTAAAGACCTCCAAACTATGGTGTGGCCTTTTCAGATGAAGCACAACAACCGTGTGTAGAGAGAGCTTCATGGAATGGGTTTTCCATGCTGAGTGCACGCTGCATCCAAGGGCCTTACATCTCCAAGTGCAAATGCCAAAAGTGGTCGGCTGCTGGTGTGTAAGCATGCCTGCCACTGGACTCTAAGAGCAGTGGGAACAATTCTCTGAGTGACAAATCACGCTTCTCTGTCTGGCAAGTCAACTGGACATGTCTGGGTTTGGCAGGTTGCCAGGAGTAACGGTACTGCCCGACTGCATTTGTGCCAAGTGTAAAGGTTTGGGGTGAAGGGGAGATTATGGTGTGGAGTTGCGTTTTCAGGGGTTGGGGCTTGGCCCCTATTCCAGTGAAGGGAACTCTTAAGGCAACATTTTTGGACAATTTCATATTCCCTAACTGTTTGTGTAAGAATTTGGGAATGGCCCCCTTCCCTTTCCATAACATCACTACACACCAATGCACAAAGCAAGGTCCATAAGACATGGAGGAGCCAAGTTGTGGGGTGGTAGGAACTTGACTGTCTGTAAACACAAGATTCCTGACCTCAAACCCCATAGAACACAACCTTTGGGATGATTAGAGCGGAGACTGCGAGCCAGGCCTCCTCCCCTCTACATCAGTGCCTGACCTGACAAATGTGCTTCTGGAAAATCTTTGTATTTCCTTAATAAAGGTGTTTTTATTACAATACTACACTATGCGAGGAGTATCTTTTTTTCAAGATGTATGGAGTGGAGTTGGAGGAGATAGTAACTGACGTGGAGAGAGCATTATGCATCTATAGACCTACCTGGTCAAAAGGAAAAGCGCATCTAGACCTGGGATACAGTTCAACAATTAAGGGTGAGCACAATACAGGTGTGTCGGGGGTGTGTGGACACTGAAGAGGGACACTATTGCACTTCGCGTTGGATTTGAATATCACATGAAGCACGGCAGTTATTAAAAGGCCACAATCTCACTATAAAAACTGTTACTTAATAGCTTATGGTGAAATTCAAACACGAGCGTACAGAGCAAGTTCACCACGTGGATGTATGAGTGATTTATGATGAAATTTGAAACTTACCCGTATTTTTCGCTCCATAAGACTGCACCTGACCATAAGACAAAAGCGGCACCTAGTTTTAGAGGAGAAAAACAAGAAAAAACAATATTCTGAACCAATGGACGCAGACACAGTACAGTGGGATGACCAGAGACTGCGGACACAGTACAGGGGATGACCATAGACACTGCGGACACAGTACAGGGTATGACCACAGACTGCGGACTTAGTACTTGGAATGAAACCAGAGGAGCTGCGGAGACAGTACAGGATGACCAGATAGGCTGCGGACACAGTGGCAGGGATGACCCAGAAGACTGGGCGGACACAGTACAGGGGATGACCAGAGACTGCGGACACAGTACAATGGATGGCCAGGAGACTGCGAACACAGTACAGGAGATGGCCAAGACTGCGGACACAGTACAGGGGATGCCAGAGACTGCCGACACAGTACAGGGGGAATTTGCCAGAGACTGCGGACACAGTACAAGGGGGATGGCCAGAGACTGCGGACCCACAGTGCAGGAGATTGACCAGAGACTGCGGACAAACAGTACAGGAGATGACCAGAGTGACTGCGGACACAGTACAGGAGGATGACCAGGAGACTGCGGACACAGTACAGGGAATGACCAAGACTGCGGACACAGTACAGGGAATGACTAGAGACTGCGGACACAGTACCAGAAGATGCGACCAAGTACTGCAACAGTTGCAGGGGATGACCAGAGACTGCAGACAAAGCAAAGAGATTATCAGATAGACTGCGGACCTTTGGGGAGGAGGGGGAACGGAGTACCGTGAATTTGACAGGTACCCGCTCCCACTTTCCGCGGAGTTGTCCTTCCTCCTTCTTCCCTCCAGCATTCCAGCGGCAACTTCTGTGACAGCCGGGTGCCCACTTTGCATGCGCGACAAAGCGCCACTCTTTGTGAATGGCCCGGAGCCTTCTGGGAACCTGCCATGTATCCCAGAAGACACCGGACCATTCACAAAGCGAGCGGCGCTTCCACGCGCATGTGCAGTGGCACCCGGCTGTCACAGAAGCCCGCCTCGGGGAAGACAGCATCAGCGCTGGAGTGAGGAACAGGTAAGGATCCTGCAGGAGCAGAAGAGCTGAGCTATGGTCGCCGCCCGGTATTCCTGACATGGGGGCGGCAGAAATACCGGACCGGCCGCTTTACATTCGCTCCATAAGACGTCCTGCACACATTTTCCCCCCTTTTTTGGGGGAAAAAGTTGCGTCTTATGGAGCGAAAAATACGAGTAAGGATTTTGCATGTTTTTTTGTATGTAATATTTGATATTTATTGGAGTATATCCGTCTTTATTACACACAATGATATATGTTTATGGTGTACATCTACTTATGACACTAGTATAGATCTTACAACATTATTTGTGCGCTGCATAGACGACACTTTTATCATAGTGTATGTTTCATTCTCCTCCTTGCGTCGGGTTTTCCCTTTTCTGAATCTGATAGCTCTCCTCGTCATCCCATGCAATGTTGTCCCAACTCCATTCCACAGCTGTAGCAGAGATCCTTCCTCTAGGGTCATCATATGACAACCTTCAGTCCAGGTCGGAATGGGATTCCAGCCTTTCCAGGGTTTCTTTTAGCTTCATTTGACAGACGATTGTTCCCCCTGATCCTAGAAGAGAGGATAGAAATGGTCCATCAGATCAATCTCATTTTCTTTAATTTGCTGAGGTGTAATAATGAGAGAAATGGATGATGATTATTATGTTTTTTATATTAATTTTATTCACCCGAGCTTAATTACTGCACTCCAGATCATAAAAGAACCTCCCGCCAAAAGTATGTAGAACTATGTATAAAAGCATACACATTAGCCCAATCAGGTTCTGGCTTTCCTAATGCTATAGCAGGGTCAGCAAGCGGTGTATAGGAGGCCCTGAACATGTAGCAAATGACTGCATTATATGAATCCCTGGGACTACAACTGTATTTTCTCCTCCCATCTATATTTGTTATATCAGAGGATTGTTATCCTTCATAAGTACACCAAAACCCACACAGACTGATGGGCAGAGACACAAAATGACATGAACACTGATTGGTGGAACATCAATTGGGAGGATTTACACACATACATGGACAGCGACAGACAGACAGACACCTGGGAGGTATACTTTGGGTAAAATAAAATTGCATGGCTAAATCACCCCGATCCCGGTTTTCATCAGAGATATGACATAAGACCCAAGTACAGGTAGGTTCATTTAACCTCCAACAAAAAGAAAAACAATAGACATCACAAAGCCTAGAGCTATGAGTGTTTTTATTGAAAAGTGCAATACATGAAATAATAATCCACTCACATGCTCCACATAGATACATGCCTGCAATAGCCTGAGAAAGGATCCCCCGCATGCCCCGGTCAGAGCTGTAACCAGCGAATCCTTCCTGCTGCTAAACCCTCCCAGACCGCTCCGTTTCGCATTCCACGTCACATGACAGGGTCGGGGTCAGCGCGTGCTGGAAGCGCACAGTGCGCAGAAGTCGCCAACTGTCTACAGAGTCAATAGGTGAGCTCAGTGACTCCAAGCGTGGTCCCGTGATAGGTGGCCACCTGGGCAAATAAGTCCACCCGTGACATTTCCTGCTACTAAATATTCCACGCCCCTACACGCTCAACTGTTAGTGGGATTATAATAACAAAGTGGAAGCAACTGGGAACAACAGCAACTCAGCCACCAAGTGGTAGGCCACGTCACATGACAGGGCGGGGTCAGCGCATGCTGAAGCGCACAGTGCTCAGAATCGCCAACTGTCTGCAGAGCCAATAGCTAAAGACCTCCAAACTTGGTGTGGCCTTCAGATGAGCCCAACAGTGCGTAGAGATCTTCATGGAATGGGTTTCCATGGCCGAGCAGCTGCATCCAAGCCTTACATCACCAAAGTGCAAATGCAAACCGTCGGACGCCGTGGTGTAAAGCACGCCGCCACTGGACTCTAGAGCAGAGGAGACGTGTTCTCTAAAGTGACCAATCACGCTTCTCTGTCTGCCAATCCGATGGACTTGTCTGGGATTTGGCGGTGGTGGCCAGGAGAACGGTACTTGCCCGACTGCATTGTTCCAAGTGTAAAGTTTGGTGGGGAGGGGATTATGGTGTGGGGTGGGTTGTTTTTCAGGGGTTGGGCTTGGCCCCTTATTTCCAGTGAATGGAACTCTTAAGGGCAACATTTTGGGACAATTTCATGCTCCCAAACTTTGTGGGAAGAGTTTGGGGATGGCCCCTTCCTGTTCCAACATGACTGCCCACCAATGCACAAAGCAAGGTCCATAAAGACATGGAGGAGCCATTTATTATCACAGAGTTGTTTGGCTCCTTTTTAAATCCTAATGATAACAGAAATCACCCAAATAGACCTGAGCAAAAGTTTCCCTCCCTGGAATGTTCGGCCCCCTTCGTACAGACACACAAGGGGACACACAGGTTTACAATGGCAAATAAACGTTCATTTCCCACATTTCTGTGGCTTTTTCAATTACAATCAGCGTCTGTGTATAAATAGTATAATGAGTTTGTTAGCTCTCACATGGATGCACTGAGCAGGCTTAATACTGAGCCATGAGGATCAGAAAGAACTATCAAAAGACCTGCATAACAAGGTAAATGGATCTTTATAAAGATGGAAAAACATATAAAAAAGATATGCAAAGTCTTGAATATGCCAGTCAGTACCGTTCAATCACTTATATTAAGGAGTGGAAAATTCAGGGAATACCAGGCCAAGGTCAGGTAGACCAAGTAACAGCAGCTACAACTGCCAGAATAATTATCTGGGAAACAAAGAAAATCCCCCGCGTAACCTCAGGAGAAAAATACATGCTGCTGTGTAAAAAAGATGGTGTGGTTTTTGTTTTTTAAGAAGCACAATTTTATCCTCCCCTGTGTCTGTATGATGTAATTTTTTTTTTCTTTCATTGTAATTTCCTTCTATCCTTTCTGCAAGACAGGCACTGAAATGAGGCAGAAATTTTACTCTGTATCACTAATATACAGAATTCTTCCACATTGTAATAGTTTGCCGGAACGTCCTGCATACAAGAAAAATATCATGATTGCAAAGTGTTTGGTGAGTTCAATTATCTGATGGAAAAATGTCTGCAGTGATTGTCTCCGCTCTGTTCAGGCCAGGCATAGAGGTCTCAGGAAGATTTCAATGGAAACTCTCCCAGAATATGATTGTCTCAGTCAGTCCTGTTATACTCACTGTAATTCCTCTATCCGGCTTGTTGTCAGAGCCGCCATCAGATCCCCAAAAGTGAGGACCCTCCAGATTGTTCCCAGACAGGTTCAGTGTCCTCAGTGTCGAGTTATTTCTTATTCCAGATGCCAGGTGGGGGGCAGGAACTGTCTGTCAGGAGAGTATTAGAACAATCTGTAGAAAGAGAAGAAGGATTGTTACCAGAAGGAAATTAATCCCCCCCCCCCCCAGGAATGAATGGAACTATTCTCTACATGGATGGAACTCATTTCTCTTTATTGGAATCATTTATATTCGATCACTTTATAAATCTCCAGGAAATAGAATTTTATAAGACAAATGTTATAATGGAGTAGACCCCCCAATATTGTCCTCCATGTGTAGAGACGGTAATATCTCCATACACAGGATGAGCACAGAATACCACTGACATGACTCGTATTTGTCTTGAGAACGCCCTGTGGGTTGAGGCGAAACGCGTTGATGCACTTCCGGTCTGCCCGTCATCTTGGCCTACGTCACTTCCGGTATTTGGAACACACGCCGACTTTTGCGGTTCAAGCAGCCATTTTAGAGGTGGAAAGCTGGTCATCTTCTACAGTGATTCTTAAAGCGTGAGATCCCTATATTTACAATTTGGAAACTTGTTCCTTTGAAGCCTTTGATGCTATTAAAACAAGGCCTGTTATTTTATTGAAACATGGTGAGTGTCCTTATTCTATGGATTTATATGGTATTGAGTGGCAGGATTACACTATGTAGCCTTTCTTTCCTTGCACATTATTGAGGATTCCATGGAGAAGTAGAGTGGAGTCGATTTGCTGTATCTAAGCAGGGTGTGAAGAAGGTGATTTGAGTTCCTCCTGAGGGCTATAGGATCCCTTATATCCTATGAGGCTTATTACTCACCTCCATCTGGTGAGTGCGGTCAATATTATTTGTCACGTGGTGATTAGGTGGAAGCACATTTTGGAACATTGTCTTGAAAATCCTTTTGGGCAAAATAAGGACTTATGTTTGAAATATTATATATATATATTTTTTTTTTTTTTTTTTGCACGGACATTTATTTATTTGTGATTATTTTTATTTATTTAATTTTTGCGTTATTCATGACTCGTATTGTGCTATCATCTCCTTGTGTATGGAGCATGAATGGGATCAGCAGACAGTGTGAGGCCGGAATCAGCATTGCTAGTGATTGGACGGGAGGATTGTTTTATCTGATATTCTATTCTCTCTGCTGATCAGAGCTCTGTACTCATAGGACGTCATGGCGCTAGGTAACAAATGTTCAGTAATGGGGAGATCTTCCGGAACTGAATAGCACGCCAGATGAAAAGAATTTGTTTGATGCTCTGATCACTCATTGCATTAAGATCAGATTCTCCCATGTATGAGCATCTTTAACTTGTTTGCCCGACCGCAGATAGCCGAATGACGGCTGAGCACTGCGGCCGGCCAGTTCTGAGTGGACGTCATATGACGTCCCCCAGAACGCGCTCTCCTGCACGCCCCAGAGGGCGCGCATTGTAACGCACCCGCGATCTCCGTGATCGCTGTGTCCTACGGGACACAGCTGATCATGTGATGTGGTAAAAGGACAATTCACAGCGGCCCCTTTTACCACTGATCAGCGGTGTCCAATGACAACGCTGATCAGAGGGAAATGCAAGGGCCAGTTCACCGTGCTGCACTTTCCTCACGCTGTCCAGATCGTGAGGAAAGTACTGCCGAGAACCGGCATTTGTCAGCGAGCGGGGATCGGCACCACCGATCATCAGGGCAACTGATGATCAGTGCCCTCTGATGATCGGTTGATCCTCCCAGCAGTGCCAACCCCAAGCAAGTTCCAGCCCACCTGTGCCCTGCAGTGCGCCCACTAGCTCCGCCCACTGGTGCCCCAGCAGATCACCCACCTGTGCCAGCAACAAATGCAACCCACCTGTGCCCAGAAGTGCCACCTACCTGTGCCCCACCAGTGCCACCACACTGTGCCCACCCCACCAGTGCTGCCCACCAGTGATATACCCACCAGTGCAGGACCAGCTCGTGCTGCAGTCAGTGCCGCCAGTCAGTGCCCAGCAGTGATGCCAGGTCAGTGCCGTCTATCAGTACCCATCATCAGTATCCCCCCCCCATCAGTGCCGCTATCAGTGCTGCATATTAGTTCCGCCTCATCTGTGACACCTCATTAGTGCTGTTAAAACCTCAGGCTGCCGCCTAATCCGTGCAAGTTTGACAACCTCATCTATCAGTACCTGCCTTTATCAGCGCCCTTTAGTGCTCCTATCAGCTGTCCATCAGTGCGCCTATCAGTGCCATCAGTTGCCGCCTATCAGTGCCATCAGTGCTGCCTCATCAACGCACATTCAGGCGAAGTTGAGAAAAATTACCTGTTTGAAAAATTTTATTAATAGACACAAAGAAAGTATGTGAACTTTTTTTTTTTAATAATTTTTGGGCAATTTTTTCATTATAGCGCAAAAAGTAAAGCACCCAGTGGCGATTAAATACCACAACAAGAAAGCTCTATTTGTGAGAAAAAAATGATCAAAAATGCTTTTATGGGTACAATGTTGCATGACGCGCAATTGTCAAGGTCAAAGTGCGGCAGCGCTGAAAGCTCAAAATTTTTGGCCTGGTAAATAAGGGGGTATAAGTGCACTGGTAGGCAAGTGTAGATCTGTCATCCATTTATAACAGAGTACCAAACTAAATGTTTAGTGTTACTAAACCCCCGCATTCACTATATCCGCTCTCCCCGGACCCCATCATTCACTATATTCGCTCTCCCCGGAAACCCCGAAACTCACTATATCCGACTCTCCCCAATGACCCCGCATTCACTATATCCACCTCTCCCCGGACCCCGCATTCACTATATCCCTCTCGCCCCAGGACCTGCGGCATTCACATATAATCGCAGTCTCCTCGGATCCCAGCATTCCATATATATATCTGGGCCTCTCCCCGGAACCCCTTGCATTTCACTCCTGTCCACAGTATCCATTCTCCCGGACCCCTGCATTCACTATATCCGCTCTCCCCCGGACCCCTGCATTCACTATATCTGCTCTCCCTGGACCTCAGCAATTCACTATATCGATGTCCCTCCATGGACCCTGCATTCACAATATTTGGTCTCCCCGGACCCTGCATTACAAGATAATTACCGGTCTCCCCGGACCCCAGCATTCACTATAGGTCTGCTCTCCCCGGGACCTTGGCATTCACTATATCTTTGCTCTCCCTGGGACCCTGCATTCAATATATTCCGGTCTTCCATCCTTACAGTACACACAACATGGAAAATGCCATTTGTTTTAGTAAATATAAACTGCTAAATACACCTTTCTCATCAGCAGTATATAGCAGTCTTTTGATTTCTATTCGTGTCCAGCAGAGCACTGGTTATCCGTAAGGCTTATTGGAGGCGTTTTTCACTTTCTCTCTAGGAATCGGATGCAGAACCCTTGATCTCCTGTCTGGAAAGGGCTGATTGGTGCCCTGTGCTGATCATATTCACCCTCCCCAAGGAAAAAAAAAATAAACCCCTTTAGCAATATGACACTAAACTGAGCATGTGCAAAATGCCTACGGATCAGTCTGTCTTATCATTAAGATAAGGGTGGTCTCTTGAAAAAAACAGGAAAAAGGAACAGAGCAGAAAGGATCAATCTAAAATCTTTTTACACAATGCAGAGAATTAACCCCTATCAGGTTCCACAGTGAGTATCACAAGAGCATGCTTTACTTGCATCTACAGACTGATTGTACTGTTGTGTGGTTTTTCACAGCAATCCCTTTAAGGTTACATTTTATAGTCTATTAGGGTCACCATGTTACCATCTGATATTATGCCTGTTTGTACAAATCTTTATATCATATGAGGATCCTACCCAATGTATCCAGTTCAGTTTGTATCAAATTAGCAATGGGAGGAACAGAAGATTGTAAGATCGACTTGTACTGTGTGTGTGGAGCTTTTAAGTAAGCTACAGACTATACAATATTCTTTCCTTTCCACTCCGGGTGGAAAGACAGACAATTTTACTCAATCCCCCATATGACCACAGTCAGAATGGTATGCCTCAGCTAATCACTCCTGCCGCACACAACAGTGTTTTTCTAGGCCAAATGTGGCAAAGCCTCGCTCTTCCCTGCCTTTTAGCAGAACCTGAACACAGTTAGCTGCTATAGACTGGCCTCCAGCAGTGATCGAATGCAAAAAGTCCAGAGGATGGTTGTACTGAATGTATTGACGGATCAACTTCAGTACAACCAGCCTGCCCATAGATGGGTCAGATCTCGGCTGGTCCTTACTAAACCTGTCCCATATTTGATCCACTTATGGTCAGATGTAGAAAAAGTCTAATTTATTGCTGGATAACAGGAGTTAGGAGAAGATCCGAAGATTTACGCAATTGTAATGTTAATCTGTCCCAGAATATGATTGTCTCAGTCAGTCCTGTTATACTCACTGTAATCCCCTCTATCCGGCTTGTTTTATTGTCAGAGCCGCCATCAGATCCCTGAAATGAGGACCCTCCCAGATTGTTCCCAGACAGGGTGTCAGTGTCATCAGTGTCGGGTTTATTTCTTATTCCAGATGCCAGGTGGGGGCAGGAACTGTCTGTCAGGTGATTACCAACCAATCTGTAGAAGAGAAGAATGTTTACCAGAAGGAAATGAATCCCCCCCCCCCCCCAGGAAATGAATGGAACTAATTCTCTACATGGATGGAACTCAATTTCTCTATTGGAATTATTTATATTCCATCACTTTATAAATCTCCAGGAAATGGAATTTTATAAGACAAATGTTATAATGGAGTAGACCCCCGAATATTGTCCTCCATGTGTAGAGACGGTGATATCTCCATACACAGGATGAGCACAGGAATACCACTGACATGACTCTAATTGTGCTATCATCTCCTTGTGTATGGAGCATGAATGGGATCAGCAGACAGTGTGAGGCCGGAATCAGCATTGCTAGTGATTGGACGGGAGGATTGTATCTGATTATTCTATTTATCTCTGCTGATCAGAGCTCTGTACTCATAGGACGTCATGGCGCTAGGTAACAAATGTTCAGTAATGGGGAGATCTTCCGGAACTGAATAGCACGCCAGATGAAGAGAATTTGTTTGATGCTCTGATCACTCATTGCATTAAGATCAGATTCTCCCATGTATGAGCATCTTTAATGTCATCTATTTATACAGATACCAAACTGAATTGTAGTGTTACTAAACCCCGGACCCCGCATTCACTATATCCGCTCTCCCCAGACCCCGCATCCACTATATCCGCTCTCCCCAGACCCCGCATTCACTATATCCGCTCTCCCCCGGACCCCGCATTCACTATTTCCACTCTCCCCGGACCCGCATTCACTATATCCTCTCTCCCCTGGACCCTGCATTCACTATATCCGCTCTCCCTGGACCCTGCATTCACTATATCCGCTCTCCCTGGACCCTGCATTCACTATATCCGCTCCCCTGGACCCCGCAATTTACTATATTCGCTCTCCCTGGACCCCGCATTCACTATATCCGCTCTCCCGGACCCGCATTCACTATGTGGTCGCTTTCCCCGGACCCCGCATTCACTATGTCCGCTTTCCCCGGACCCCGCATTCACTATATCCGCTCTTCCTGGATCCTGCATTTACCATATCCGCTCTCCTGGACCCTGCATTCACTATATCTGGTCTCCCCGGACCCCGCATTCACTATTTTTCACTCTCCCCGGACCCTGCATTCACTATATCCGCTCGCCCCGGACCCCGTATTCACTATATCCACTCTCCCGGACCCCGCATTCACTATATCTGGTCTCCCATAGTAAACACAACGTGGAAATGCAATTATTTTAGTAAAATATAAACAAAGCTAAATACCTTTTCTCATCAGCAGTATATAGCAGTCTTTTGATTTCTATTAGTGTCCAGCAGGTGCGTACTGGTTAAAGCTTGTAGGAGGCGTTTTCTTTCTGCTCTAAGAGGATGCAGAACCCTTGATCTCTGTCTGGAAAGGGCTGATTGGCCCTGTGCTGATCACATTCACCCTCCCAAGGAAAAAAAAAAAAACTCTTTAGCAATACACACTAAACTGAGCATGTGCAAAATGCCTAAGGATCAGTCTGTCTTATCAGAAGACAAGAGGTGGTTGCTTGAAAAAAAGGAGAGCAGCAGAGCACTGGTTAATGCTTGTAGGAGAAGTTTTCTTTCTGCTCTAGGAGAATGCAGAACACCTGATCTCTGGACAGTTCTAATTGGCTCTGTGCTGATCACATGTACCCTCCCCCCAAAAAAAAACTGAGCATGTGCAAAATGCATACGGTTCAGTCTGTCTTATCATAAGATAAGAGTTGTTAGTTTGAAAAAGGGGCGGACTGAACAGAAAGGATCAATCAGCCTTTTTACACAATGCAGAGGATTAACCCCTTAGGTTCCACAGTGAGTATCACAAGCATGCTTTACTGCATCTACAGACTGATTGTACTGTTGTGGGTTTTAGTAACACTTTAATGTTTACATTTTATAGTCTATAGGGTCACCATGTTACCATCTGATATTATGCTGTTTGTACAACTTTATATCATATGAGGACCTACCCAATGTATCCAGTCAGTTTGTATCCAATTAGGCAATGGAGGTAAAGAAGATTGTAAGATCAGACTGTACTGTGTGTGGGGAGCTTTAAGTAAGCTACAGACTATACAATATTCTTTCCTTCCACTACGGGTGGGAAAGAAAGACAATTGCTCAATCCTCCATCAACACAGTCAGAATGGATGGGGGAATCACTCCTGCCGCACAACTGTGTTCTGCCAACAGGAAGCCTTCCCTGCCAGCAGAACACTGATCACTGTTAGCTGCTACAGACCTCCAGCAGTGATCGAATGCAAAAAGTCCCAGAGGATGGTTGTATGAATGTGATTGACGGATCAACTTCAATACAACCAGCCTGCCCTATAGATGGGTCAGATCTCGGCTGGTCCTTACTAAACCTGTCCATATTTGATCCACTTATGGCCAGATGTAGAAAAAGTCTAATTTATTGCTGATAACAGAGTTAGAGAAGATCCGAAAGATTTTAGACAATTGAATGTTAATCTGTCCCAGAATATGATTGTCTCAGTCAGTCCTGTTATATTATAATACATAAAATACTACTAAGTAGTTGGAAACTCCTCAATAACACACTACAAGTGAAGTCCAATCCCTAATAAGTCCACAAAATATAAACCATAGCCTTCCTGTGTAATCACAGTGAAAAATTGGACAAAGGAAATATAAACGTCCTTCCAACGATTTCTCCACGGCACTACCTGGATTCATCAGCCATAGTACTCCATGTGTCCCCATACACCTCTTGGCCACCACCAGTCCAGTCAACCAGCTGGATTGGAGTGGAGTCTCCCTCTGGTGGTGGCCAAGAGGTGTATGGGGACACATGGAGTACTATGGCTGATGAATCCAGGTAGTGCCGTGGAGACTGTATAGGCCGTGTGGAGATCTACAGGAGGGCCATTTCTCACCAGTTATTGGATTATATTATAGGCGTGATTATTTGGGATTGTTGGTAAGGGTACCCACTCCTTACTATAATGAGAAGTGTACACTGTGTTGGCTTGTGTTTGGGCACTGAAGAGTGATTCACACACACAGTGTTGATTCACCATTTGATTCACAGTTCTTTATCACTATTTTTCACTGCAAAGTTTTGATGGGATACTCACTTGAGTGATGTCACATGTTTATATGTAGATTATAAAAGATAATGCACTATGTGATGTTTTTCTTTTTTTTTGAGGGGACATTTATCGTGGAAATCGTTGGAAGGATTTATATTTCCTTTGGACACAGTTTTTCACTGTGATTACACAGGAAGGCTATGGTTTATATTTTGTGGACTTATTAGGGATTGGACTTCACTTGTAGTGTGTTATTGAGGAGTTTCCAACTATTTAGTAGCATTTTCTGTATTATAATTATTTTACAACATCTTCAGGGGTGAAGGTGGTGATTGTGCTGTGGAGGAGTTGAATTTGTTTATTTATTTAGGAAGTGGTTTTATTTAAATAATCCTGTTATACTCACTGTAATTCTCTATCCGGCTTGTTGTCAGAGCCGCCATCAGATCCCTGAAATAAGAACCCTCCAGATTGTTCGCAGACAGGTCCAGTGTCCTCAGTGTCGGGTCACACCCACAACCCCACACCCCCCCTTATCTCTTATTCCAGATGCCAGGTGGGGGCAGGAACTGTCTGTCAGGTGATTCTGATCCAATCTGTAGAAGAGAAGAATGTTACCAGAAGAAAATGAATCCCCCCCCCCCCCCCCCCCCCCCCCCCCCACCCCCCCCCTAGGAATGAATGGAACTATTCTCTACATGGATGGAACTCATTTCTCTTTATTGGAATCATTTATATTCGATCACTTTATAAATCTCCAGGAAATAGAATTTTATAAGACAAATGTTATAATGGAGTAGACCCCCCCAATATTGTCCTCCATGTGTAGAGACGGTGATATCTCCATACACAGGATGAGCACAGAATACCACTGACATGACTCGTATTGTGCTATCATCTCCTTGTGTATGGAGCATGAATGGGATCAGCAGACAGTGTGAGGCCGGAATCAGCATTGCTAGTGATTGGACGGGATGAGGATTGTATCTGATATTCTATTTATCTCTGCTGATCAGAGCTCTGTACTCATAGGAACGTCATGGCGCTAGGTAACAAATGTTCAGTAATGGGGAGATCTTCTGGAACTGAATAGCACGCCAGATGAAAAGAATTTGTTTGATGCTCTGACCACTCATTGCATTAAGATCAGATTCTCCCATGTATGAGCATCTTTAATGTCATCTATTTATACAGATACCAAAATAAATGTAGAGTGTTACTAAACCCTGGACCCGGCATTCACTATATCCACTCTCCCCGGACCCTGCATTCACTATATCCGCTCTCCCTGGACCCTGCATTCACTATTATCCGCTCTCCCCGGACCCTGCATTCACTATATCTGATCTCCCTGGACCCCACATTCACTATATCCGCTCTCCCCGGACCCTGCATTCACTATATCCGCTCTCCCAGGACCTCGCATTCACTATATATCCAGTCTCCACGGATCCCAGCATTCACTATATATCCGCTCTCCCAGGACCTCGCATTCACTGTATCCATTCTCTACGGACCCTGCATTCACTATCTTTGCTCTAACTGAACCCTGCATTCACTATATCTGATCTCCCCGGACCCTGCATTCACTATATCCATGGTCTCCCCAGGACCCTGCATTCACTATATCCACCGCTCTCCCAGAACCCTGCATTCACTATATCCGCTCTCCCCAGATCCCGCATTCACTATATCCGCTCTCCCCCGGACCCTGCATTCACTAATCCGCTCTCCCCGGACCCCGCATTCATTATATCTGCTCTCCCTGGACCTCCATTCACTATATCTGCTCTCCCCGGACCCTGCATTCAATATATCCGCTCTCCCCAGACCCAGCATTCACTATATCTGCTCTTCCACAGTACACACAACATGGAAAATGCAATTATTTTAGTAAATATAAACTGCTAAATACCTTTTATCATCAGCAGTATATAGCAGTCTTTTGATTTCTATTAGTGTCCAGCAGAGCACTGGTTAAAGATTATAGGAGGCGTTTTCTTTCTGCTCTAGGAGGATGCAGAACCCCTGATCTCCTGTCTGGAAAGGGCTGATTGGCCCTGTGCTGATCACATTCACCCTCCCAAGGAAAAAAAAAATAAACCCCTTTAGCAATACACACTAAACTGAGCATTTGCAAAATGCCTACGGATCAGTCTGTCTTATCAGAAGATAAGAGGTGGTCTCTTGAAAAAAAGGAGGAACAGAGCAGAAAGGATCAATCGGCCTTTTTTGCACAATGCAGAGGATTAACCCCTTAGGTTCCACAGTGAGTATCACAAGCACGCTTTACTGCATCTACAGACTGATTGTACTGTTGTGGGTTTAGTAACACTTTAATGTTTACATTTTATAGTCTATAGGGTCACCATGTTACCATCTGATATTATGCTGTTTGTACAACTTTATATCATATGAGGACCTACCCAATGTATCCAGTCAGTTTGTATCCAATTAGGCAATGGAGGTAAAGAAGATTTTAAGATCAGACTGTACTGTGTGTGGGGGAGCTTTAAGTAAGCTACAGACTATACAATATTCTTTCCTTCCACTACGGGTGGAAAGAAAGACATTTGCTCAATCCCCCCATCAACACAGTCAGAATGGATGGGGGGATCACTCCTGCCGCACAACTGTGTTCTGCCAACAGGAAGCCTTCCCTGCCAGCAGAACACTGATCATTGTTAGCTGCTATAGACCTCCAGCAGTGATCGAATGCAAAAAGTCCCAGAGGATGGATGTAACTGAATGTGATTGACGGATCAACTTCAGTACAACCAGCCTGCCCATAGATGGGTCAGATCTCGGCTGGTCCTTACTAAACCTG